TGTGGAATTAGTAGCAGTGAGTCAACTTTCTTCTTATCAACCATCGAAACCCTTTCTTCTAGTTGGGCATGGTAGTAAACCCCTTTCAAAGAATACCCGGGTACATCGGCTCTGGGATACCCCTAGACGAAGGACTTTTTTTTGAAAATTTTGGATAACCCGGAAAGACTTCAAGCGCCGGAAGTGATCCAAAAGAATTGCTATCAATCGATCATCCTTGTCACTTGAAAAACCGAAATGCCCCGAAATACATATTCATGACAAAAGGATGTTGAAGATAAAATTGTTTTGATCACCGACAGATATCGGTATTGGGGTTTGCGTAAAAACTCAGAATAGAGGCGTAGAATGAAGGTAGCTAAGGGACTGGTCAAAAAGTATGGGGGGGGGGGGGTAGGCCGGAGCATTTGGAAATGTGGTTGATAAAAACACAAGGCCCACCCCCTCCCTTCGGCACAAACATGACCGACCCATCCCTAAAGCAAGGTTGGAAATTGCATGACCCATGCAAAACATTGATGATTGGTTTCCTCTTAATAATCCAATAAAATTTTGTTCTGTGCTTGACAAAATTTGTTGATACACTGCTACAACCAATATCAAAATCACAGAAATCATACCTTTCACGAAAAGACAAATGTGAAAAACCGAACATTTCTTGTTTCGATGGACGTTATAAGTCTTGACACGAATATACAGCAAAACGAGGGTATGTTGAAATTGTCTGTCACAAAACATATGAAAATTTCTACAAAGACAACCCATTCCTACACATTACTTGCCGGAAAGCTTAGATTAATCCTCAAAGAAAATGTCTTCCACTTCAATGGAAAGCACTACCTACAAAACCAGTTTTGATTCCTTTGCCAATATTTTCATGACACATATTCTCTAAGCAAAACTGTCTTTAGAACAACAGTTTGGAAATGCTACATAAACGATATCTTTTCCCTATGGGACATGCGTAACCCAGACATCGAAGCCTCCATTGAACAAGCAAACTTACATCACCCAACTATTGAATTCACGGCCGAAACATTTGACACTGAGACTGCGTTTTTAGACACAGTTGTATACAAAGGCACAAGATTCAAGGAAAAATCTATCCTTGATGCAAAGACACATTTTAAACAAACGGAAACCTTCTTGAACATACATTTCACCTCATGTCACCCTCCAAATGTTAAAAAGAGGATTTGTCAAAGGAGAAGCCTTGAGAATCCTACTAAAAACTCCTCAGAAACAACCTTTAAGGAAAATAATTCGAATTAAAAAAAAAAAAAAAACGCTTGAAGGACGGAGGCTACCCACAATCTTTAATAGAAAACATACTATCAGAAATAAAATTAGCAAAAGGGAGTCTAAACTCCTAAAACAAAACAACAAGGAGGAAAAAGAAATATTGCCATTCGTGACACAATACCAGCCCTCCGTGTCTACTATAAAGAAAGCTTAAATGAAAAAAATGGAATTATATACAAAACCAACTATAACTTCAATAATTTTTTAAAGAACCACCAATCATTTCCTTACAAAAAAGGAAAATCATTAAAGTACATGCTCGTTAGAGCCAAAAAAAAAAAAAAAAAAAAGAATTTTAACAGAGGGTTCCACGCCCGTATAGATCTGCGGCCTGTCACCCTTTGCATTTTAGCAATAATTCCAGCTGGCTGTGTTTTATATAACAAGTGTAGTCAACTGTCTCGTTAGTAGTTAGTGCCTATCTATCTAATAAAATATGGTGACCTACCCCCTAAGGGTAGCTGAAAATTGCACGACCCACCCCTTGCACAAGGCTCAAAACCTCATGACCCACCCCCTCTCTGCTCCAGCCCACCCCCCATACTTTTTGACCAGTCCCTTGCGTACGTGGCCGTACTCTTCCCCCAGGGGAAAAAACGAAAAAGGCGGAGGGTACAGCTACACTTTGGCAAAGGGTAGGCTCAAGCGAGCTATTCTCTTCGAGCGGTGAGTGATGCGAGCCAGCAAAGAGTGCTGAACCGGAGCAACCGCACCCCAGTCATTTCGCGTTTCTCTTTCTGGTGCCCCTCGCCTCTCTCCTCCGCAGAGGCTCCCACTTGGTATTCCAGTAATCATAGCAATAATTAAAAAGAAAAAAAAAATGGTACGAGTGTCGTGAACGTTCGTCCCATCGTCTCTCCCCGCCTTTCTTGCCTCTAGGACACAAACATGCTTTTCCTCAAAATCCCCTTCAAATCGCCGGAAGTTCGCATGAAATGGGACTCTCGACCGAAGCAAAAGCAAGATACAACAAGGTAAGCAATTAACAAGACGAATAGACACAATGCACATGTTGCCAGGGTCCCTGCCTCCAGTTCCGTAAAACGGGCTGTAAGATATATCTTTGGATCCACCACCAACTTTATCACAGCCTATCTTTATGTTAAAAAAAGACTGTTTACAAAGGCACAAACACAATTTACATGTTGTCACACATATATCAAGCTAGTGCTTTTTAGAAGCAGGTGTTCGTTTTTTTCGGTGTTTTTATTATTATTATTATTATTATTATTATTATTAGAAGACGAAGACCCGCAAAACGTTCGTAGCGGGCGGCGAGGAAAGGAGAAATGGCTGTCATTCAGATTCATTGATAATTGGAGATCTTACACCTATCATGCCGTTTAGAGCTGAGTCCAAGTGACTTTGACTCCCGGCTTTGACTTTTACTTTCGGTGGGGTTTTGTAGAAAATCGGAAAGCCTGGTCAAATTCATTGACCAATACTACGATCTTTTTTTCTTGTACGTCTCTGGTCGAGATAGCCATTTCGAAATGTTTTCAGAACCGGATTTTGAGGAGAGTTACCCGAACATCTGGTCCTTGCTGTTCTGCAGACAAATCCGTACTCTTTTGGTTACGTTACGTGAAGTTATATTATTACGCAAATCTAATTTGACATGTTTGTAATAATTTACTAGACGCGATGGTACAAGTGCCTTATGGTAACTGTTTTTTATATGGTTAAAAAAGAATTCTCAAACGTTGAGAGAAGAAAGAACCTTACAACAGCCCATGGTGAAAACCGAGACAATAATGTTGTCAGAAAGGGATACTCTTTTGCGTGACATTTGTTCTGGAATACGTTTTTGGTGAAAAACGTCGTGAGTTTTTCTTTTACTCTTGATTGATTTCTTTTTCTTCATTTCTTTTCTTCTACAGGCAAGAAAAAGACGAAAGTAATTGGCATTATCAGCAGTTTAAAATGTATGAACGAATTACGGTAAGCAAAAACTGCAAGGACGCACATCTCCATTGATCAATTTGTCTTGTCAGTCTGTTTTGTTGACCTTTTCGGTGAAAAATTGAGTAAGATAGGGAGCGCCTGGGATTACATCGCGTTATTCTAAACCAAGATTGAGTAACCACCATCTACCCTATTCTCTTCAACTTTGTAATAAGTTTCGGTGTGTATGTGAATCAAATTTTATGTCAATTTATTGCAGGGGCGTAGCCAGGATTTTTCAAAGGGGGGGGGGGGGGGGGTCACAGACAGGGACACCATCCGGGGATCGCCGACTATATATGGTTTATACCGCTGCTCTCCCTTGTGTATCAGCGGGCTCAGTCGTGTTATCGCGGCATGAAGGCCCATATTAGCTAAAGACAAGAGCCGTTGACGAAAATACTTTACAAAAAAAACAAATTTTAAAAAAGGGGGCTTTTCAATAATGGCTTTTACGGCCAAGATATTGTCATGGCGTTTTCGCCACCTGAATAGGTGTAGGTTGTTTTCTCAAAAGGAGGCCTACCAAGGGGGGGTCACGGGCACCCCAGGACCCCCCTCCCTAGCTACGCCCCTGTATTGGACTACGCATCAACGCGATCGACGACCGTTACCTTCGTTTAGATCTAAGATTAATAAAATGATATGTGGCGTGCTTGTATGATCGTTGAATATAATGAAAGGTTATTGAAGTACTTCAAGGCGTCTTTGCTGACATTTTCAATCGTAAGAGAAAAAAGATGCATTATATTGGCCGTGACCTCTTCCGTGACATCCGCTCAGCAATTTGTATTGAATTTTTGATCAAAATAGCCCGAACTCTTTTCAAACTGGATGCGCTAATTTTTGCGGGCCAAAAACCACAGTTGGAGATAATGTTCTACGAGGATAAAGCTTTAACCAGATGTACAATATGAGCTAATATGACACGTAAATTTATATACTAGGATTTTATAGGTCTTTAAAGTTGGCCTTTATTTCACCTCGACCCAAAAGATTGAAAGTGGGTTATTTCAACGGGTTTTTATTTTGTTTTAAACTTGACAAAATTACATGAAGTTCACATTTTTTTAAAAACAAAGGGTTCTTTTACCAATATCCAAAATAGCAAACCGGGAATTCCACGGGTTGTCGCGTACGGAGTTAGCGAAGTTGCAGATTTTTCATTGTTTTTCCGGGGGGTCAGAGACCGCCTCAGCGCAATTCGAACTTTTGGATTTTTGGGAAAAAGCAAAGCGCGATGGAACTTTTTATTTCCATTTTTGAAAATAGTTCACCAAAAGGGTCCTTTAGGTAGAATAAAATAAATTATGAAATTTTGCAACTGTGGGCGGATTCTCGATATTTACAGTCAAGGCCTCTTAAAAGGAGTATATGTGCAAAACGAAGGGCTTAAACCACCCTCTTCATCCTCTTCTACCAACACGCCTAGATGATACCTGCCCCTACACGTTAAGGCACAAATCAGACCAGCTGTACTCTTATAAAAACGTTACTACCTGTAGAACGAAGCGCTCTGAAGACTTTTTCACTTTTAAATATTATATTTATACATCAGAATATTGCATATTCTGATGTGGTGTATATAATTTTTACTTAATGTATACACAGAAATGTAAATAGTTGATTTTATTAAGTTTTCATTGTTACTGCAAGAGAGTTTAATAAACTGTTATTATTATTAATTATAAATATTCATAATATCATGCAAGCCTCCTGAAAGTAAGTTAATTTTGAAGGAGAGGCACAAAACTTTAACTCCTACCTCTCATAAAAGCTTTCAGAAAATGTGGCTGCAATTGAATGGCAACTTTTGCATCATTCACTGTTTCAGAGTAATTACCTATGGAAATAAAATACAGAAGACACTTTGTAATTGCTCAGGTAGGTTTAACAGAGCAAAGGGGGGGGATACGATTAGTCAACACGGTACACTGCAACAACGTCAGTTTACATAACAACAACTAAACCGGCTCCCTAGAAACTTTCTGCGTGCACCATTCAACGGTGCTAAATTTTAAATAGACAAAATATAAAATGATCTCTTATTACCCGAGATTGAGATCCGTTCTACAAATTACGGACCGAGTTTTTTGTTTTTTTTTTTGGTTTTTTGTTTTCATCGATTTGTAGCTAGCCTGTGCCAAGCTCTCTGTCAGTGTCGACAAGTTAAAAAATGCCTGTGAGCAGTGAAATACTGAACGAGCGAAATACGGTGGGAAGAGAGGGAGGGGCGAGCCTGTAAGCATCTTTTCAAATACCTCAATCTGCCCACTTCCTGAGAAACCGTTTCTCGGGTCAAAATGTTAAATGTCTAAACGTCAAAAAGTGCAGTGTTGGAGGGTTTTAAATGCTCGGCACCAGCCTAGTCCCTAGGCGTTCTGAGCTCGGTCAATCCTGGACTCTACCGTGAGCTGTGACGTCACCGAGAGAGACACGCCGAGAACGTTCTCTCGCTCGCTCTTTCCCAGACTTCGCGCGGACAACGAGGCAAGAGAGAACGCCTAGGGACTAGGCTGGCTCGGCACGTTTGTTACAACTTCTTACCCAAATTAAAATGTGCTGCCGCTCTGTTGCTGTACAGTTTGGCGTTAAGATCTTCATCCTTACAGTTCACTTTAATTCCTTCAGTGTAGAAGTAAATGGCGTTGTTGAAATTCTTCTTATAATATTCATCGTTACCCTCATTTTTGTAAACCTCAGCAATAGCTACAAAGGAGCAAATTTTAATCATTATAATTTTAGGTTTTCAGTCAGAATTTAGTTCTACTTCCATTGAAATTTACCTTGATCTCATTATAAATTTCTGACACCAGAAACCAAATCAGAACATTGCAATTTAAGTTTACGAATCTGATACAGCTTCGTATAATTAATCAAGGTTTTGACTGATAATAATATTAAAGCCCCACAACTGACAAGGAGATGAAGGCTTATACATTGGTATCTATAAAACCGAGAACAATTCCTTCGTCGTTGATATTTTATTACAGAAAGAAAATAGCATTTAAAATTCCCACCTCTTAAAGTGCTATCATCAAACTGAAGTGTTTCCTCAGCAGCTGATGTGACGTCATTTTCTTTTGTACCTGTGTTTGCACTTCTCTCCATGGCGGAATGCTTTAAGATTCAGTTATATCTCTAAGTTAATTTATTGTGATGTTTGTATCCAATGCAAGCGCGGATCCCACCGGTTTCTACCGTTTACAGAAATTTATATTATTTATAACAAATATATTTTTAATAATAATACGGAAAAACTTTCCACGTTGAAGTCTTTTCACAGACGACGTTGACAGAACTCGCCTTGCTCCATATTTACTACATGGAAATTGATCTTTATGAAACTATAATCCGCCAATTTGCATCAGAGCAGAATGGAACTGACCAATATCCTGTGTGAATGACTCGGGAATCCAGAAAAGCGGACTTTAGGCGGTTAAAAATCACAAGCTTGCACCTGACATCGGCGATTGTTTAGGAAATCGCTCACTATTTGTCCTAGTCCGCGACCGTAAGGCATTTATGTGACACATATTTTTTAAAGTCATTTTGGGCGCTCTTTAGCTTTGTAGAATATGATATGCTCCATTTCAATTCAGTATAGTGTGGGAGGCACATAAGAACGCTAGAATAATGCCGTCTTGTTATTCCTATCACAGATATCAAAACCAGAAAAGACTGTTCAAGATGTCACCTCAGCTCGCTGCCCGTGATTTCCTAAAAAGCATGTACTAATACATCAAGACACTCACCTATCTCTGCAGAAGCGGCTAGCGACGGAACTTGCATTCATCCAGCATTCATCTTATCTACATGAAGTGAACGTGGAACAAACATTCTATTCGAAACAGAAAGTTCGATCAACTACTAAAATATTAAGTAGGGTTTTTACCCTTACTTTCAAAATCAACATTACCGATTTTCAATACCTCGATGGTTAGCAACTTGTGCAAGTCAAAACATGTTCCTTTGAATTGATCCCTCTCATGATTTGTGTTTCAGATTTGACTTCATTTGCTAAAATACAGTGTTAATGGACAAAACCAAAGATTAAACGAGAGATGGAAAGTGAAAGTGGTGAAAATGTTGAGTATTTCTGGATGTTACGGAAACCATTGTTAGTTCGCTTTTGTTTAGTGGTGTGGGTATTGTTCGGTGTCTTTTCAATCCTTTGAATGACGCAATTTGGTGATGGCACCTGTCCGTAGCACCAAGAAACTACTAAAATATTATGTTGTCTCAGTGCCCGCCAAAGAAAAAAAAATGAGAAATTGAGTGTGACACGGCTATTATTTTGTCACAGACTTGACTAATTGTGTCCAGCAAAAGATAAAAGAAATAATTTGGTAGCGGTTTAGTTTATTTTAAATGCTTCCACTTATAGCTAACGCTGAATTTGGCCAAAAGATTTTAAACTAATCCGCTGAAAGCTTCCACTATAACTGGTTATATGATTTGGAGTAAAAATTGATGATGTGATATTATAACAAGTAACGTAACAATTACTCATCATGCGAGACTTATTATTTAGACAATAAGGTTTGTAAGCCATTTTAGCAACAAGAGCTACTGACAAAGATCCTAAGCGGAAATACTGTATGAGATAAAATTGCAAATTTTCAAGTAAAATCATCTATCAAACATAAAAAATTCATTTAATACATTTAGCAAATTTATAATCATAATTCAGTTAGTATTTATAATCAAGCAAAAATTTAACTTCCTTTTACGTATTTGTGTCGTTTTTTAGACAAATAATATGTTGTTCCGAAAGTGGCGTCTAATCAATCGGAACCTTTGGAAACCGAACCAGTGGAACGGCTCGAGCTATCCGTTCGAAGAAATTGCGGAATTTTGGTCACGTGACCTTTTATTACGTCACAAATCTGCTTTTATGGTTTCACGAATAACAGATAAATGGTTCCACGAACAGCAGATGTTTTTTCATAATTTTCTTTAGTCCTTCTACTTTCAACATTTAATACAACCAATGTGCAATGTCAATTGCACTACTATTGAGACAAAAAGGCAGCCCAATTTAGGCTTATTACCGAGGGGGGGGGGGGGGGGGGGGCCCCAGTCCCCCCGCTCATTGGGGTTGTTACAATGTTTTTTTTTTTTACTTTTTTTTTTGTGATAAAAAAAAAAAAAATGATCTGACCAAAAGAATGTGTTTTTTTTTTTATTTTTTTTTTTCTCTTTTCTTCTAAAAATAAAAAACACCACGAGCGAAAATTATTACATAAAAATATATGAAAAAAAAAGGGCCCCACTTTTTTTTGTATGGGGGGGGGGGGGGGGGGGGGGGGTGTCCCAGTTACATCCCGTATTTGTGGTATGTACATACTGTTTTCAGTTTTCTAACTACGCTTGACGCGCTCTATCTTAAACAGTAGAGAAATTAAAACAATTCCAAACTTTAATTTTAAGAAAAATATGACGTCATCAAAATGATTAGTATGTCGTCTTATATTAACCTACCAAGTCTCGCAAGCAGTCGATCAACATCAACAAAGTTATAAAAAAAACCTCACACAAAGCCCAATTTTGAAACATTTGGGGGGTGGTTTGGCCCCTACGTGAACTTTAACACATTCCAGTGTTAATTTCTTGGAATAGGAATACTAATTAAAAATACTTTGTATGTCTGTTATGTTAGTTTTTAGAGCTCTATTTCAGTCCATTCATTAATCGTGAACTTCAGAAAATCAAGGGAATTTATTCGATAAACTTCGAAAGTTGTACATGAATGGAACGGTCATCTAGACATTTTTAGCCTTCCTTAGTCTATAGAAAATTCTAGGCAATTTTTGCTTCTCGGAACAGATATTTCAGAGAAAACAGTCATTTGGTGCCCCTAAGATTACGTACACTTTTTTCTTCAAAATATATTTCATTTTTTCTCTTCAAATTAATATTTTTGTCTTAGTTGCATGCTTATTAGAACGGAATTGTAGAATGTGCTTCATGGGTCCTAAATCATCCAAGACAATCTTATTCGCTTCTACACAACAAAAACCAAACAAATCTTTTCCATGTGATGTATGGCCTTGCAAACATCTGACATTAGCTCACTGATGAATCTCTCCCAGAAATTAATTTCTATTCCGCACCGTCTTTTCCTTACTGTTTCTTAGAATAACAAACCGAAGCAACGACACTGATTAGCAGGAAAGAAGGACGCAGTGAGCGTTATATCAAAAGACAGTTTACCAACCTTTAAACACAAATAAAACTCTTCATGACTTCTTCATGACCGTCACATGAAACGAGAAAGCCATTATGCAGCAATTACACGAAGGCTTGCATATTTTACCTCCCCAATATTCACCCGCAGAACCATGAGCGAAAATTAAACTTCAGAAAATCGTAAGACTAGCGACTGTTGACGTGGACTTTGCCTGTTACAAACAAACGGAAATGCAAATTAAGGGAAATTTCCCTTTTTCTCTCGGACAAAGGACTTGGCATTCAACCGGAAAGACTGATTATGGCTTGACATACATGGCTTACCTTACATAATAACAAATAGCCCAAACGAAAAAATTAGAAATGAGAACAATTTGCTTCAGACAAAACGTTATATTATAAGGCTTAGTTCATGATTTGTTATGAGAAAAAAGACTTGTGATATCGAAATATTTGAAACTTTTCTCAGTTTTGTGGTTGGAATGTTTTACGAAAAGTATGCTTTTCATAATCGGAATCTGTTGTCTCCAGTGGGTTACTAACTTGATCAAATGAAAACCAGAACAAACTTAGGTAGAGTAAAATGCAAGTGAGAGAAAATGAGAAAGCCAAAAAAAAAAAAAATGGAAAATAGCTCTTTCCCACCTCGTTCCCAGGGTCCTCTCTTACTCATCTGAGTTCCGGGGAGCGAGTAGGAAGGGCCCTAGGAACGAGGTTGACTCATTACTTTCAAGAATATTATGTCAAAAGAAACGTTAAGTTCGAAACGTCGTTGCATATTTTTAACGTTTTATTATTTTTTTTAAATGGTTAAGGAAAGCTTTTTCGCAATTTTTTTTTTCATAGCTAAGTATGAAAAATATGATTTTGCTATCGTGAACGGTCATATTCGTTTCTCTACAGCCTCGCTTTCGACAACCCATAAAAGTAAGCAAAAATAAGCCAGAAGTGATAACATGAAAACTATGGCTATGTTGACACTATACCGGATTTTTTTTCGTGGCGCTACGAATATGTGACTCTCGGCCCTGGGGGGATGCTGAAGGAATTTTTTGTTGGGGATGTGCCGCTGGGACCCTGGAACCCTTAGCCTTTACCAGAGTTAAATCAAGTAAATTTTGCTACCCTATATTAGACTAAACTCCCTCAAATACCGCCCCCCCCCACCCCCTAGAGTTTCTTTTTTCCAGAAACTACTGAGGTCACTAGCACAGTCCAGCCAAAACAAAACCGATTTGATTCTTTTTATAGTTTTGAGTGGCCATTCCTAGTTCGCCTAGTCTAGACTAAAATCTTCAGCCAATTGATCATTCCTGGAAAATTATACCCTATTCTAGGCTTAAACTCTCTGATTTATATACCCTTCACATCGGGATATACCTATTTAGTAAAATCCAACTAATGGTCTACTATCAATGCTACGTTCTGATTGGTTGAGCTACTACTAGGCTATATGTTATAGCCCACTAGTAGCGAAAAGCGCCGGCAATTTGGCGGGAAAAAAGGCTATTGACTCAGAGCCCATTCGGGCTCGAGGGATAATTGCTAAATAGCCCATATATGGCAGTACCCCCCCCCCCCCTCCCAACAAGCCCCCCCCCTTTAAGAACCGGCCCCGGCCCCAACCTCCCCCCTCCCCCACCCAAAAACCAGCCCCCTCAACCCATTTTTAAACGGGGGCGGCGCGCCGTGGGGAGAAGGTGAAGCCTCCGGGGGGCGCGGCGCCTACAACAAAAAAAAGAACAAGGACATCCCCCCCCCCCCCTTCCAACAAGGCTCTCCGCTTTAGAGATCGGAGCCGGGCCGTAGCTTCGCTCTGTCACAGACAGAAATCAGGCCGCTTCAACCATTTTTGTGTATGAACAGAAGCCCTATCCGGTATGGTTTTCGTGGCGGCGCAAAAGCTATCCAGCATATTG